AGGGAGAGGGAGAGGGAGAGGGAGAGGGAGAGGGAGAGCAGGCAGGGAGAGGGGACAGAGAGAGGGGAGAGGGAGAGCAGGAACGGGAAAGCTGCAAAGGGAGGGCAGGAAAGGGGAAACTGCAAAGGGAGAGCAACGAGGGAGAGGAGGAAAGGGAAAACAGCAAAGAGAAAACAGCAAAGGGAGAGCAGGAGAAGGAGAGCAGGAACGGGAGAGCAGGAACGGGAAAAGTGCAAAGGGAGAGCGGCGAGGGAGAGCAGGAGAGGGAGAGCAGGAATGGGAAAACAGCGAAGGGAGAGCAGGAGAAGGAGAGCAGGAACGGGAAAATAGCGAAGGGAGAGCAGCGAAGGGAAAACAGGAACGGGAAAGCGGCAAAGGGAGAGCAGCGAAGGGAAAACAGGAACGGGAAAGCGGCAAAGGGAGAGCAGCGAAGGGAAAACAGGAACGGGAAAGCGGCAAAGGGAGAGCAGCGAAGGGAAAACAGGAACGGGAAAGCGGCAAAGGGAGAGCAGCGAAGGGAAAGCAGCCCAGGGAGAGCAGCGAAGCCCCTGTGCCCGCTCCGTGCCCCTGCCTGGCACGGGCCCGTGCCACATTCCCGCTGTCCCTTCCCGCAGGAGCCGAGCGGGATCGCGGTGCCCGCGGGGCTTTGGGGAGCTGCGAGGGGCTGCTCCCGCTGGCTGCTGCGGGAAACGGGGATCCTGGGGGGATCTCGGGGGACAGGATCCACCCCGTAGGGCTCGCGGGGAGCTGGGGTCGCTTTTTGGCACATTCGGGGCCCGCTCGGGGCTGCGCTGGGCTCGGGAGGAGCAGGAGGGACCGGAGCGCTCCCGGCACGGCCGGGATGTGGCTGCTGTGTCCCGCGCATGGGGTGGGCCTGGGGGAGTGTCACTGTCACCCTGCCGTGCCCTGTCACCGTCACCCTGCCGTGCCCTGTGTCACCGTCACCCTGCCGTGCTCTGTGTCACCGTCACCCTGCCGTGCCCTGTCACCTGCACCCTGCAGTGCCCTGTGTCTGTGTCACCGTCACCCTGCCGTGCCCCGTGTCACCGTCACCCTGCCGTGCCCTGTGTCACCGTCCCCCTGCCGTGCCCTGCGTCTGTGTCACCATCACCCTGCCGTGCCCTGTGTCTGTGTCACCATCACCCTGCCGTGCCCCGTGTCACCGTCACCCTGCCGTGCCCCGTGTCTGTGTCACCGTCACCCTGCCGTGCCCTGTGTCACCTGCACCCTGCCGTGCCCTGTGTCTGTGTCACCCTGCCGTGCCCTGTGAGTGTGTCACCGTCACCCTGCTGTGCCCTGTGTCTGTGTCACTGTCACCCTGCTGTGCCCTGTGTCACCGTCACCCAGCCGTGCCCCGTGTCACCGTCACCCTGCCGTGCCCTCTGTCACCGTCACCCTGCCGTGCCCTCTGTCACCGTCACCCTGCCGTGCCCTCTGTCACCGTCACCCTGCCGTGCCCTCTGTCACCGTCACCCTGCCGTGCCCTCTGTCACCGTCACCCTGCCGTGCCCTCTGTCACCGTCACCCTGCCGTGCCCTCTGTCACCGTCACCCTGCCGTGCCCTCTGTCACCGTCACCCTGCCGTGCCCTCTGTCACCGTCACCCTGCCGTGCCCTCTGTCACCGTCACCCTGCCGTGCCCTGTGTCTGTGTCACCGTCACCCTGCTGTGCCCCGTGTCACCTGCACCCTGCCGTGCCCTGCGTCTGTGTCACCGTCACCCTGCCGTGCCCTGTGTCACCATCACCCTGCCGTGCCCTGTGTCTATGTCACCTGCGTCCTAAAGAGGTCCCTGGGTGGCTGTATCACCTGGATCCTGGCACAATCCCTGGGTGGCTGTGTCACCTGGATCCCAGAGCGATCCCTGCGTGGCTGTGTCACTCGGATCCCGGCACAATCCCTGGGTGTTTGTGTCACCTGGTTCCCAGAGCATTCCCCGGGTGCCTCCCTGCCCTGGCAGTGCCCGTGAGGATCCCCCAGCGGTGCCTGAGCACTGAGCCAGCTCACCCCACTGCAGAGCTCTGGGCAGGGCTGGGTGCCCTGGAGCCCCAAATCCAGGCTGGGTGCCCTGGAGCCCCAAAATCCACACTGGGTGCCCTGGAGCCCCAAAATCCACACTGAGCACCCTCCAACATCCACACTGGGTGCCCTGGAGCCCCAAAATCCACGCTGGGCACCCCCCAACATCCACACTGGGTGCCCTGGAGCTCCAAATCCACGCTGGGCACCCCCCAAAATCCATGCTGGGTGCCCTGGAGCCCCAAAATCCATGCTGGGCACCCCCCAGAATCCATGCTGGGTGCCCTGGAGCCCCAAAATCCACGCTGGGCACCCCCCAAAATCCACACTGGGTGCCCTGGAGCTCCAAATCCACTCTGGGCACTCCCCAAAATCCACACTGGGTGCCCTGGAGCCCCAAAATCCATGCTGGGCACCCCCCAGAATCCATGCTGGGTGCCCTGGAGCCCCAAGATCCACGCTGGGCACCCCGCAAAATCCACACTGGGTGCCCTGGAGCCCCAAAATCCACACTGAGCACACCCCAAAATCCACACTGGGTGCCCTGGAGCCCCAAAATCCACGCTGGGCACCCCCCAAAATCCACACTGGGTGCCCTGGAGCCCCAAATCCACTCTGGGCACTCCCCAAAATCCACACTGGGTGCCCTGCAGCCCCAAATCCACTCTGGGCACCCCCCAAAATCCACACTGGGTGCCCTGGAGCCCCAAAATCCACGCTGGGCACCCCCCAAAATCCACACTGGGTGCCCTGGAGCCCCAAAATCCACGCCCCTCACACCCCAAAATCCACACTGGGTGCCCTGGAGCCCCAAAATCCACGCTGGGCACCCCCCAAAATCCACACTGGGTGCCCTGGAGCCCCAAAATCCACGCTGGGCACCCCCCAGGAGCGCTGCTGCTGCCACCACCTCCTCCAGGAGCTGCATCCCAGCTCTGCCACCGCAGGGAGCAGCGTGGCCCGGCCAGGCTGTCCCCTCCAGCTCTGTTTTCCAGGTGGGACACGGGTGGGACAGGCAGGAGCCAGCAGGGAGCAGCCAGGCCGTGCCCAGCAGCTCCTTTTTCCAGGTGGGACGGCCAGCAGGGAAGCACCCAAACCCCTCCGGGCATCTCGGGGCTCCCTCCCGGCTGGGGCAGAGGCTGGGGGAGCCCCGGGAGGCTCGGGAGGCTCCGTGCCCACCTGCAGAGCCGTGGCAGGGTATGGCCCTCTGGAAGTGTGTGCCATGGAAATGTGCACATTTCCTAAAAGCAATATGGAGCAGCTAAATATACTGCTCACAAATCTGTTTACACTAATAATGGCTGGGAGCCTGCCATCCATATGACTGCACGGAGCCATCGATTCAACAGAAATTCGCTGAATTCCTTGCAGGAGGAACAAACTCACGGCGCTTTACGTTTCAGTTTCCCCCCCCCTTGTTTTTCTTTCTTTTTTTCCCCTGCTTGTCGGGGAAGGGGGAGCAGGGATAAACCCCCAAAGACAGTGGGAGAAACCCCCAAACACAGTGGGATAAACCCCCAAACACAGCCCCGGGCTGGCAGCGGCTCTGCCCATCCCTCAGCCCTCACCCGAGGATCGGGATACTCAGCAGACCGGGATTTCCCAGCGCAGCTCCAAGCTCTGGAGCTGCCTCCAGGGCTAAATGAACACAATATTTACCCATTTCCCACCCAACGGAAGGGTCCGAGGCAGCATTTTGGCGCCGGGCTCTTTCCCATTTTCAAAAAAAAAAAAAAAGGGGAAGAAAAAAAATAAAAAGAGGGAAAAAAGCCCCTCCGGAATTGGCAGCTCGTGGTGTATTAATGGAAAAGCTGCAGACTTGGCTCCCGCTCACCTCCCCAACATAATGTTAAATGGCAGCAAGGCACTATAGCAGTCATTTACATATGGTGCTTATAGACGCCAAACTTATTAACACAATAAAACTGCTGCGCCAGGAGCTTTCCTGCCTATTTTTCTCCTGGAGAATGTCAGTGTTGGAAGCACCTATCCGCCTCGTATGGAAACACCCGGGGCTGCCTTTCATATGGCACCGGCAAAATAAATAAATGACTCAGCCAGGGGCCCCCTCCGACCACTCCCCGAGGGAAGAGGGAGGGGGATCCGCGCCTTCGGAGGTTTGGGGGTGGGGGAGATCACGGGAATCCACCAGGATCCACCAGAACCCCTGAAAAACGCATTTCCTCCTGCTTGGGGCAGCTCCACGCTAGGATTGGCTTTAACCCCTGCTCTGAGG